GCGTTTGGCAATCACTGGTAAAATTGAAGATGAGCAGCTCCAGGATGCACAGATCCCATATTCTGGGGAAATTCTTGCAAACGCTCGCCTGTATTCATGCATGTGGGTGGGAGACCTGTCCCAGAAATTGCGACCACTTTCATAAGAGCAGAGTGGGTGGCGTGTGCCCTGTTCCCAGCGGGGAAGGCAAAGGCGTCCATCTGAGGGACAGTGTGTACCCACATCCACAAACTTTGAAAACGGATGTGGAGCAACGCTGAAACATTTCAGAAGGAGACGTCAATGAGGATGCTTTTAAAACCTCTTTAAGAGTGCAAAACGAAGCAGTAGGTTGTTTTTGGATCCAGGGGAAACTAAGAATAAAGAGCAAACCCCCCAATAGAACAGCAGAGCCTGGCACCAGGGGACTGCAGGGGAGGCAGTCCTTCGGCCTTTAGATCCCCCATGATGCTCCAGCTCTTGAAACAAGAGGAGCCTGAGGCCACTGTGAGCAAATTCTAGAGCTTACGCTCAGATCAGCTGCCCACCCTGACGACTGCTCAGCTCTCGGGTCCACAAAGGGGACCTCCCCACATCCCCGCCTCCCTGCCATCGGGGCTGTCCCGTGTACCTCAATTCGACAGGTCGGGAGCCGACCCCCCTTTCAGCCCTTTGTGCCCCAAACCAGCGGAGAGGCAGCCCCCTTTCTCAGACCTCAGCCCAGCACTGGCGGTCAAGGTGGGTGCGGGTGGCCGGGCGGGCGGCCACCAGCCTGGAGAGGGCCGCGTTCTCCCAGAAATGGTCTCCAATGGAGCGTAAATGGCCAAATATTAGCCTGCCACATAACAGGGGATGAGAAAATGTCGGTCTGTTTCTTGTATTTGGTGCAGAAAAGCTATTTAAATCTATGAAATTTTCTTAAAAGGCGGTGTGTGTTGGCGGGGCGGGAAGAGGGGGGCCGGTTCTCATGGGGGGCACATGTGTCTGATGGCCAGACTCCTGGGCCTTGCCTTATTGTGCTTGTTTGAATCCCTTCCAAATGGGCCTTTCTTTCCTTTTTTCTCCCCGTCCCCCCCCCCCTTTTCATATTTCACATGTTGTGATTTCACTGAGCCCTTCCAATTGGTCGTCAACAGTTCATTTGTGCCAGGACCCTCTGTAAACTCTGTGTGCGGGGCCCCCAGCCTGACCACCCACCGAAACAGGCTGTCCAAACAGCGTGTGTCTGGACCTCAGACACAGCAAGTGAGTTAAAGATGGATCCCGTCCAAGGATTTTTTTTTTTCCCTCCAAGTAGAGGTGGGGGGTGGGGAGGAGACCCTGGTCACACCAGGCCCCGCTCAGATGCGGCCTTTTGAAGTTGGAGCAAAGTGTCCCCTGTCTTTTGCCATTTTTCTCTGTGGAGATTGTCCCTGAGCTTAGAAGGATCTCTCTACCATCTCTGATCTAAAGTGTGAAGTCAGTCTGTGTCAGGAACAAACCCGTTCATAGGCTCTGGGCCTGCTTTCAACCTCATTTCAAATGCCTATGGCCTGGGTTTGCCACCCACTCCATTCCAAGTTGGGATTTTTCAGGCTGTAACCCCTGGGGTGTGGCTCTCCCTGGGTCCTGAGTAGTCCTTGGCCTGTGGCTGGCAACAGCAGAAGGAGCATGGTGCCACAGAAGCAGGCCCAGCACATGCAAAGGCCCTGTGGTACGTGTGACCACATTTGGAATGAGGCTCTGTTAGCACCTACTTTGCAAAGGAGAACAAACGAAGGGCAGAGAAGCAGAGGCCCTCATCCAGGTTGATATGACTCCTACGTGGTGGGGAGGATTAGGATCCAGTGTCTGAATCAGGGACTGTGTCCTGAACATGTCACAAAATATCCCTGTTCTCCAGTCTGCCCCCAAAATAGAGAGCAGTTCACGAACATTTCTGATGAGATTGCTCTGTGTGTGTGTGTGAATGTCTTTACTAAGGTATAATTCACATACCATATATAATTCATCTATCTCAAGTATATAATTCAATGCTTTTCAGTATATTCACAGAGTTCTGCAACCATCCCTCCAATTAGTTTTAGAATATTTTCCTCACCTCAAATAGAAATTCTACACTCATTAGCAGTCCTGCTCTATTGTTCCCTCCTCCCATTCCCTGGTAACCACCAATGGGGGCTTTCTGTCTCTATGGACTTACTATTCTGGATATTTCATATAAATGATATAACACACTGTGTAGTCTTTTGTTTTGGGATTCTTTCACTCAGCATAATGATTCCAAGATTCCTCTACATTGTAGCATGTGTCAGAACTCCATTCCTTTTTATGACTGAGTAATATTCCATTGGATGGCTATCCCACATTTGTTTTATCCAGTTCATCGGCTGATGAACCTCTGGGTGGTTTCTGCTTTTGGCGATTCTAAATAACGCTGCCATGAATATCTGTTTTCAAGTGTCTGTGTGAGCCTGTGTTTTCACTTCTCCTGGGCATGTACCTTAAGAGTGGAATTGTTGGGTCATAGGGAGACTCCATGTTCAAGCTTTTGAGGAGCCGCTGGACTGTTTTCTAAAGTGGCTGTACCATTTCGCACTTCCACCAGAAGTGTATGAGGGCTCCAAATTCTCCCCATCTTCTGTGACATTTATGATCTGTCTTTTTGATCTGAGCCATTCTAGGGGGGTGTCGAGCATTATTAATACTTCATCGTGGTCTTGATTTGTGTTTCCCTAATGACTGATGATGTTCAGCATCTTTTCATGTGCACATTGGCCATTCATGAATCTTCATGGGAGAAACATCTGCTCAGATCATTTGCCTGTTTTTAACTGGTTTGTTCACCTTGATGAGTTTTTGTTGATGTCTCCCACCCCACCACCTGCTTGGTTCAGAAATCCTTTCAGGCCGAGGTTGATCACTGGGGAGGGGGTCATCCTCTCACTCACGCCTCCCAGTTGCTGCCCCTGGCAGTTGCTCAGTGGTTCTGAAGTGGGGCCCAGGAACCTGCTTTCTGATAAATTCCCAGTTGATGCTACTGCTGGTTTGAGGACCACTTCCTAGAGAAAATCCCCTAAACGTGTGCAAGGAAGCTAGTCGCCGAGGACGGTGAAAGTGAAAGCCACCCAGTTGTGTCTGACTCTTTGCAACCCCATAGACTTTAGCCCTCCAGGATCCTTTGTCCATGGGATTCTCCAGGCAAGAATACTGGGGTGGGTTGCCATTCCCTTCTCCAGAGGATCTTCCCAATCCAGGGATCAAATTAGCATCTCCTGCATTGCAGGCAGATTCTTTACCATCTGAATCACTAGAGCAGGGCAACTGGTAACAGCAAACAAGTGGTCACAACCTCAGTGCCCCGTGACTGAAAAAAAATCTACTGTCATCTGCTCACAGGAGAGAATATCGCACAGCAGTGAAATGTGAATGAATTTTTAGCTGCACACATCCACACGGGCGAATTTCCTTCAGGTGATGCTGAAAAGACCAAGACAAGGAGACGCCAGGACGATGCTATTTATACGAAGCTGAGAAACGGGCCAAACTCAGCTGTACGTTATTAAGAGACAAGTATGCGCAGTAAAAGCAGGCAGACATTCGTGAGCCTCTTTAGGACAATTCAAGAGCAAAGCCCACCCGGGAAGCTGTAGTGGTGTCTGTGAATTTTATTTCTTAAGCTGAGGGGTGGGCTCTGTTGGCAGAACCAGGACACAGGGTTCTGAAGAGTTACTGCTAGTTGAGGAGGCAAAGACCTGTCTATCAGAGGGAGGGGGCTCGGTGTAAGATCACCAGGGTTGGTCTCACAGGGGGAGACCCCCATATATGTGTGTGTTGTGTGTATGTGTGTGTTTGTGCATGTGTGTGTCTCTCTCTGTGTGTGTATGTGTGTCTGTGTGTGTCTGCATGTGTGTGTATATATGTGTGTGTGTCTGTGCGCGTCTGTGTATGTGTGTCTGTATGTGTCTGTGTGTGTGTGTCTGTGTGTGTGTGTGTATGTGTATGTGTCTGTGTGTATTTGTGTCTGTGTATGTGTGTCTGCATGTGTGTGTATGTGTGACACACACACACAGCACCGTATCAACCCATTCAGCAGATTCATCTCCCTGACCAGCAAGCACCAGCCCAGCATGGCTATGGTTCCAACCCTGAAAAATTGGAAACAGAAAGACCTAGTCCTTCACCAGAGATAGTTTGGGAACACCGGATGCCATAGTCATGTCACATTGCTATGAAGTTTCTGCCCAGCCTGGCACTGGTTCTCTGAATGCACTCTGAGCAGCCTTTGCTGGGGGGGGATGGTTAGGAGACTTATGCTAAGGGGCCACTGTGTGTCTTTGAGCGAACCCCAAAGACACGCTCAAGTCCTAACCCCCCGAAAGGTAATTTTATTTGGAAAGAGGGTGTGAGCAGACACAGTTGAGGGGAGGTCCTGCTGGGCTGGGCCAGGTCCTAATCCAATGACCTTATAATCCAATGATTATAAGAAGAGGGGATTTGGGGCACAGAGATAAAATGGCATGAGAAGATGGAGGCAGAGGTTGGAGGGGTGCAGCTCAGCCAAGGACGCAAGGACGGATCGCAACCCCAGAAGCTGGGAAGATGCAGGGGAGACTGTCCCCTGGAGCCTTCAGAGGGAGTGCAGCCCTGACCACACCTCGATTTTGAACCTGTGGACTCAAGAACTGTGACAGGAGAGCTTCGTGTTCCTTCAAGCCAGGCAGTTCAGGGTACTTTGCTGTGGGAGCCCTGGGAAATGGACTAGTTGGTGACAGGACAGCGGTGTGACCCCAGATCCTGCTGCCCGCCCCCCTCTCCCTGAGTCCTCCCGTCTCCCATGGCATCACTGAGCTGGAGGCTCCCAGGCAGCAGGGACAGATGGCGTGGGGGCTGGGCGGGCTTGGCCACAGCCTTCCGAGCCCTGTTTGAAGGTTCCGCGTGGGCCTGGCTCTCAGATCATTCTTCTTTTGCCTTGAGCTCTGTGGGTTCAGAGCCAAAACCATAAGCAGCTTAATCAGTGTCTGTCCTGGAATCACCCTAACCAGCCGGGCCAGGATGGGCCAGTCGTCCAGCCCGCCGGCTCTTTGTTCTTCTGTAAGCCTCTTCTTAAATGCGGTTGGAGGAGGAACTGGCGCTGACTTGGGAGGCATGGCGGTCGCCTGCCTCGCTCCCTGGGCACTGGTCACATGAGGCTGGTATTCTCGACAAATCCCTTGTGGCAGCCTCCACAGGGCCGTGTTTCCCGACACTGCCCTGCTCTGCCCTCTAATTGCGCTCATCTGCAAGGCTACGGCCAGGGATGGCGCGGGTCTGTCCTCCAGCAGGGCCCGGAGTGGGCAGGCTTGTGGAACTCTCCAGGGCTGCGGGGTGAGGGTGGTGGGCGTCCGTCCTCTCGTGAGCCTAGAGGGGCCGTGGGACTGAGACCTGCCGGCGGTCAGAGCTCGTGGAGCCTCTGGAGCCATGGGCCGGTGGAAGGAGTGGCCCGCTGCTCACCAGGCTGGAGTCCAGCGGGCGTCTAATCCTGCTTGTGTCAGTCACTAGGCAGGTGACTTTGGGAAGATAGACAACCTCTCGAAGCCTTGCTGTCTCCATCTGTGAAATGGGAGCAAGAGTAAAACCTGCCAAACAGAATCAGCAAGGAGGCCAGCCACGTGATGCCCACGAAGCGCGGGGCTCGGTCTCTGGCAGTGTCCGCTACCTGGGGGCAGTGTTGCTGGGGCGCCGTCGGCAGCTCATCCTGAAGGTCACCTCCAGCTTGCTGGCCGGGCCCTGTGCACCCTGAGCCTCTGCCCCTCTCCTCTCTACGACAGCGTCCACCATGACTTAACGCCTCCAGGGGCAATCCTCGAGGGAGGATGGGTGGGATTTGGTGGGTGAACACCCAGATCCCCCTTCCTTTAGTGGGACAGCCCTGACTCACTTCCCCGCGCCCTCATTGTGCTGCCACGGGTCACCTCCCAGAGAAACGCGGGGCACTCAAGGCTCAGGGTCTGCCTTCAGCGGGACCCACACGGACAGCTGTGGTGGGGGAAAGTGGGTCAAACACTGGGCTGAGAAAGGAGTCAGAAGAACTGAGAGAGTTAAGGACAGGGGAAAGCTGGTGGCCAAAGTTTGAGAAGCAAACTAATGACAGTAAAGAAAATACAACTTCGTGGACTAGTGGGTTGTCCTGAGTGTGGAGAATGGTCAGTGTATTAGGGGAATGCGTGTGTGCTGGTCCAGAAAGAGGCAATGAAGACACATGGTCATGGGAAGGATTGCTCGCTAACAACACCTCTTTGCGTCTGGAGGAGGCAGGACCCTCTCTGCAAACCCCGTTGAGCAGAAAAGTTGTGGGTTTAAAGTCTGGGAGAATCCCCAGCACAGATCCCTGGGAAGTGGTCTTGAAGGGTCCTAGGGCTCATTTCATTATTTTACAAGATTCCATGGAAACTGTGCTGCAGTCCTCGGGGTGGCAGACTCTGACATGACAGATATTGAACAACAACTCTGGAAACTGTACGCTACCTTGTGACTTTTTTTTGCCTGTGCTAATCAAATACCCTAAATGGGGTATTATTTCATGTCTTTCCACCCATTGTACTCTTAGCTATACGTGAATTTGATTTTCCCATTTATATTAATTATAATTGAACAGTCATTTTCTTCACATAACAGGGAACTTCCCCAAATGTGTTTTGAATGGAAAGACAATAAAAGAGGCCTTTTGTGGAGAAAATATTGGAACCCACTGATCCCATCTGACATGTCTATTTTACAGAAGAGGAAAATTGAGACCCAGAGTGGTTAAGCGGTTTGCTTGGGGTTACACATACGTGGCCAACAGAGTGAATGCTCAGACCTATTTCAAAACGAGTTAAAGGGGCCCAAGCAACGGGCGTGAAGAGGTCTGGCTGAGACTGGCTGAAGTCTGGCTGAGCTAGGCTCCGCGAGTTGCCCCGGGGTCCTTCTTGAGGTCAAAGACAGGACTGTCAGGGGGAGAACTCAGGTGTGCAAGCTCTCGTCGAGACTTTGTGAATGTGCTGTCTGCGAATGCCTTAGCCCAAGCAAGCCGCAGCGCAGAGCTTGGGGTCAAGCCGTGCAAAGACACAATCTTTCTGTGGAGGTCTGTGTTGGGGAAGGAGTGAATATTTTTTGGGAAATGATCTTGTCTACTGCAGGGGCTGAACCTAGTGAGTAGAGAGACAGCCTCCGGGCACATGCCGTGCTAGTGTAGATCATCGCAGGGTGGAATGAATGCCATTCGAGCTGGACGCTTAAGGGAACTTTCCTGGCTCAGCTGGCTCCTTATTCATCAGCTTCGCAGCCGTGACGGCTGCCTTTCCTGATGAGACATCTCTGAGGAGTTTAATGTTCGTTTCTTGAATTTGGTGTGCCTTTTTTTCTTTCTGGCTTTAAAATTTTACTCATTATCATTGTTTTGCAGCAATTTCATCACGATCAGCCTTGGTGTTTTTCCTTTGTGTTGATCCTGCTTGAATTCCAGCGATCTTCTTGAATTAGCAGGTTATAGTTTGCAGCAAATTTGGAAAGATTTTAGCCATTATCTCTTCAATTATTTTTCCACTCCTTTCTCTTTCCCTGTTTCCTCCTTCTAAGACTCCAATTACATACACTTTAGACTGATATTGCCCCATGCAACTGTGCTTCGGTTTCTATGGCTCCCATTTCTGTGCCTACAAGTTCATTGATTTCTTCTATAGTGATCGCTCGCTGTTTTTGTTCAGTTGCTAAGTCATCTCTGACTCTCTTCCCATAGACTGCAGCACACCAGGCTTCCCTGTCCTCCACTATCTCCTGGAGTTTGCTCAAACTCATGTCTGTTGATTTGGTGTTACCACCCAGCCAGCTCATCCTCTGTTGCCCCCTTCTCCTTTTGCCTTCCATCTTTCCCAGCATGAGGGTCTTTTCCAATGAATTGGCTCTTTGCATCAGGTGGCCAAAGTATCGGAGCTTCAGCAACAGCCCTTTCAGTGAATATCTAGGGTTGATTTCCTTTAGGATTGACCGGTTTGATCTCCTTGCAGTCCAAGGGACTCACAAGAGTCTTCTCCGGCACCACAAGTTGAAAGCATGCATTATTGCTGCCATGATTAATCTTCTCTACAGTGAAACACTCATTTTAGATGCAGTATTTTCAGTTTGTAACATCTCATTTGGTTCTTTTTCATATCTTCCAATTCTTTCTCCATTATGTTTATGTTTTTCTTTAAATCCTTGAGCATATCTGTAAACTCTGTTCATAGTTCTTCCATGCTAATTCTGACATTACTGTCACTTTTGGCTCTGCTTCTTTGGACTGATTTTTATCCTAGTTATAGGTCACATTTCACTGCTTGTCATGTGTCTAGTCATTTTTGATTGGACGCCAAACATTACAAATGCTCGTTATTTATTGAGTTGTTGGATTTGGTTGTCTTCCACTAAAGAGGGTTGAAATTTATTTTGGCAGGAGGTTAAGTTACTTGAAAACCAGCTTGATCCTTTTGAGGCTTGTTTTTAATCTTTGTTAGCCTTTACTCTAGGGTCCCTTCAGCCTGACTGCTATGGCAGGACCCTTCTGGAATCTCTACTGAGTATTCTGGCTTATCTGCGGCTCTAGAGGGCAGCCCAGAATCAAGAAAGCTGAATTCTGATTTGAGCCTGTCTTCAGACTTGCTCTGTTGTGTTACCCAAATGACTTAACACATTCTTGACTGGGGTATTTTTTTTAAGAAACTAACACTTTAATGTGTTAACATTGCTTGTCCTTTACTTTTCTCATATTCCAGTTATTGGATTTGGTCTTTAATTAGTGTTTTACATGCTGTTTTTTTTTCCCCCCCAGTCCTTGGGGTTGCATGGAGGTGTATAAGCAAGCACCATGGTTGGGGTGGGTGGGGTGGGGATGGGAAACAGAGGTTTCAACTAGAACTCCTTACCCGATTTCTATCAAAATAACTTCATGTTTCTCTATCTCACATGTTAAAGCTCTAGATAAGACTTCACAGGGGGACCTCCCTGGGGGGCCAGTGACTAGGACTCTGAGCTCCCAATGCAGGGAGGGGCCCAGGTCTGATTAATGGTTGGGGAACTAGATCCCACATGCTGCAACTAAGTTCACATGTCACAACTGAAGATCCCATGTGTCACAACTTAGACCTGGCCTGGCCAAATAAATACATAAATATTAAAAATAATAATCAGGGTTTCCCTGTTGGCTCAGTGGTAAAGAATCCATCTGCCAATGCAGGAGACGCCATTTCAATCCTTGGTCCAGGAAGATCCCACATGCCTCAAGGCAACAAAGCATGTGAGCCGCAATTACTGAGCCTGTGCTCTAGAGCCCATGCTCCGCAACAAGAGAAGGAACGCCAATGAGCAGCCCACACACGGCAGCTGGAGTGTAGCCCCTGCTCACAGCAACTACAGAAGAGCCCTCGCAGCAATGAAGACTCAGCACAGCCAAAAAAAAAAAAACAAAAGAAAAAAACCCCAATAATCGTTAAAAAAGACAAAAAGACTTTATATGAAAAATTGCTGTAACAGGAAAAAAATTGACAAACCACTACATAGATATCTCTAGGTCACAAGCCACCTCTATGTGACATGCAGCAAAATCAGTGAGCTGAACTGATCCTCAGAAGAAGAGGAATGTTATGTCTCTTAAAGTTTAAAATTATCTGTAAATATCTGTAAAAACAAACAATAGTATAAGACCATCCTGTTCCGCTGGATAAATGAGCATGAACCACTTTTATATCCACTCCTCTACAAGTAGCTTCACCCCAGACTGTAATATTGTTACTGGTGACAATAGACTTCACTCTAGGTTGGACTGTTTTTTTAGAGAAGTGGTTGCATTAGGTCATCAGTGTTCTAGGGGATCAGGAGGCATTCCACACACATCTACCTGAGTACATGCTCAGCCCAAACCAATATCCACATAGCCTTTATAAAAACTAGTCTTCACAACTCTCCTATCTATTAGACTCTTAATTTTATTTCTTAGAGGAGAAAATATGTTTTGCCATAAACATCTGTTGAATCTGGTTATAGCTTAGATAGTCCCAACAGAATTTAGTTATGGCCACTTAAAGGGTAACATTAACCTTTGGAGTATTTGCAACATAGCATATGAAAGACCTGCCCAAATAAAGTGTATGTTTCT